CACACACTGACCAAGATGCAAAGTTTCATGCACGGGCTTCTTCATCCCCACCCCCACCAATGTATTTCCCACAGCACCACCCAGCCCCCCTGCTGAGGCAATTTATCTGGGTTTAAGCCCCAACCTTACACTCTTCTTGCTAGTATCTTACAAAATTCACGGAGATTGCTCATCTAAAATTTGGAGAACGAGGCATCAAACGGCAAGCACTGGACAGGTAAAGAGCCCTTCATTACACCCGTCTCTAAGCAGTTGGGCTGGAGTTTTATTTCAGAGCCTGGGTACCATGGTGATGCAAGCTCTATAAATACCCAAGGCTCCTTTCAGCCAGCCCGCTGGGTATGGCCCTGGCACCCCCACCCATTTCCCACCAGGGCTCCTCTGCTGCTGCTGGGGTGGGGGTAGGGGAAAGCACTGCTCAGCAGGAACTCCCTCCCTCTGCTCACACTTACTTTCTTTCTCCTCTCCACATCCCCACCCTACCCCTGAAACTGAGATTTCTTCTCCACCTCCTCCTTCGGTGCATAATTCATTTCCTCATCCCCGGGTGAAAGACTCAACAGTTCCCAGCCCCCAGTACCCAGACGACTTTTGGATGGGAGAATGAAAGCCTCTCCTGCCAGCCCCATGGTAGCCCCCTGTCAAGAAGAAATCCAGTTCAGTTAATAAATGAACAAACAAGGGCGGGGGGGGGGGGAAGAGTCCGGGGTTCAGGGGGAGAGAGGCAAGCAGCCCAGGGAGAAAAGTGCTCCTCGTTCCATGGAGAAAGCTTAGCCTATTGAACCCCCCTGATACCTAACTCCCCAGGTGGGTCTCATCCATGGCACTAGTGGAGGTCAAGAATCACTTTGGTCTCTATTCAGCTTAGAAGTCAGAACCCCCACCTCAACCCTGCCCTCTCATTGTAAACTCAGCTATGACCTCAGCATGCCCCCTCCCACCTCCAACTACGCCAAGTAGATAAGCAATCCAAACGAAAGCAGGAGTTCCAGATAATCTGGATATTCCTCTGTCTTGAAGTTCCTCCTTCATTGGCACTCTAGAGCCCATATAGCTGTGAATTCAGAAGCCAAAACCTACTTACTGGAAGGAGCTGAGTGGGAATCTTGACTCTATTATTTACTATGTCACTGTAAGAAAGTCACTTCACTTCTTGGAGTCTCAGTTTACACATCTATAAAATGGGACTAGTAAGAACCAGGGCAATGAGTCATTAGTCATAGACACTCCATCTACCTGTAAAGTGAGGAGGCTGTGTCAGACTTATATCAGTTTATTTTCAAGCACCATATTAAGCGCTGAGGACCCAGAAATAGATTAAAAAGCCATCTCTTCTGCTTCGACTCTCATAATGCCAAGGTTTCTTCTATCCTAATTTTCTCTGGCTTAGGGCATGTTTTCCCATCATTGAAAAGAATAGTCCATGGGCCCAATTATGAACCTCAAATAATGCATGGCTATAGAAAAAGGACATTCTGGACTCAATCATGGAAATGGAACTGTGTGCCTTGTCTGAGATGTGTGGGAGGGACAGCATGGGGTAGGGAGGTATGTGCATGGAGTCAGAAGAAAAATCTCAGCAGAAGTCTTCACAGCCTCCATTTCCTCGAAGAATGTAGACTCGAACAAGAAACTACTGCTGACATGTCCGTTCCTTTTTTTTTTTTTTAAGCTTAATTTCTCCTCCTTGACATCTTCATGAAATGAAGACGGCAAGGTCTACTACATAGATCACACAAGCCGCACCACCAGCTGGATCGATCCTTGCCACTCTGAAATGCTCTGAAACACATGTGTGCAAACTGGCCTTTCTCCTTTGCTCATGCAGTGGGGGAAAGGATTTAAGTGGGCGTCTCTTGTAAAAAAAACAAGGCAACCTGTGCCAGGCTCAGGTATCTCCTATGAGCCCCCTAGAGGTGAAAGCGAATGAGGAAAGGCTTGTCCTGTGGTCACTTCTGCTCAGCTCCAGTACCGGCCATACCTCCAGCTCAGCTCACGGGCAGCCAGACACGGCCCCAACAGGAAGGCTGGGAGAGGCTGGGCTTCTTGTCTTCAGTTCACATTCCTGCAGTTCAGTCACCTGTAGAATAATGTCCAGCTCGCCCTATCGCGTGGCTGAGCTGGTTTTACCTTTAATCCCTTTCACGTTTGTCCTCAGCCTTGGAGAATGCCTGGGGATGATTCACCCGCCATCACATGGGGTAAGCAGTCATCTGTTTTATTACCTCACCCTGCTTGCCGCTTCTGGGAGATAACCTAGGATTCTTTTGTTGGAGGGTGAGGGTGGGGGGTTGATGGAGGTAGTAAGGACTCAAAAACAGATGAAGGCTTTAAGGGGTTAGTTCCTGTTATAGTCTCTCTTTCCTGCTCCCCTGTTCCCGTCTCAAAGCCCAAAGAAAAAGGGAAAATCCCAGGGCTAGGGCACCTGGGCTTAAAAAGCAAGCTGAATTTAGCAGTCTCCAACATGTTTCCCTTCACAACCAACACCAACCAGTGAGAAGGCTGGGTTGCAAGAGACGACAAAAAGAAAATCAGCAGTTGGGAGGATTGTCACAAGCAACCACGCCCAATTTTCAAGAAGGCAAAGGACACCACAGGTTTATGCTTTGGAACAGAAAAGACTTCATTGATTCCTATTTCATAGGGGCACGCTTGCCGCCAGGCTTGGCACTCCTAATGTACCACAATGAGGCCCCCGAGGTGATGGCTTACCACTGAGTGCCAAGCCCTCTATATTTCTCATCTCCTGGAGCCATTAAAACAAGCTCTGTGGAATCTATGGGATGGTTTCAGACCTAAGACTTGAGACTTTGGTTAAGCAAGCTACTCACGGTCACACTGTGAGAAAACAGGGCAGATGTGGCCCCAAACAGATTCCAGAGCTCCTGCTTCTTAGCAGAATACTTATGAAGCAAGCATCAACAGAGACAAGCATTCATCACCATCCATAGTATTCCAGATCCAGACTACGGTAGGTCTGGGAACTGCAGCATAATTTAAAGAAAAGAAAAGAAAGTATAGGTTAGTGGTTAAGTGCCGAAATCAAACAGACCTGAGTCTACTTATTGGTTCTATATCCCTTGCCAATAATATAGCATCTTAGAGCCTCAGTTTTCTCATCAGTAAAATGGGTATAAGTGTGCCCTACTCTAGAGGGTTCCCTTGAGGATTATATAAGATCATGTGTGTAAAGCACCCAACACCATGCTGGCTTTGCTTTTGAGCTATTACTCTAATCTATAATAGGGTTTTATATTATGAAAGCTTGGCCCAAGCAGAGAACGTGAAGAAGACTATGGGAATCCTCCTTAAAAGGGTGGGGAACTCCTACTTCTGGGTGTTGTGAGCCAGTCTGAGCCCATGATTCTGAACTCCTGTGCATGGCATCTGTGGAATGAAGGTGGGTAGGAAGGGCTAAACACTAAGCCCTAGGTCAGGCCTCAGGGAAGTAACTGACTTTGCAGAAGGCATTTGGAGGTAAGGAACTGCCACAGTGGGTCTTATCTATTAAGAGAAAATGAGCCCACAAACATGGGATTCCTTCCCTTGCTCAGCACACTCTGGCCCATACAGCACAGAATGCTGGCTCCTCTGGGAGACTGAGGGTCTCAGACAAGAGGATACACTGCACTGGGCTCCATTCCTTCCGGCCAGCTTCCTGCCACATATCCAAGGCAAAAGTGGTTAAACACACATTCAGGAAACACAGACGAGGTAGCTTTAGTCGTGCCACCTTTTTATATTTAATTACATATTTTTAATTTCTCAAGAAACGCTGTCTGATTTTAAAATTTCTTCTAATTTTTTTCAAAATGTAATTTTGCTTTGTTTCTTCTTCCCCCAAATCCATAACATACGTACCTCAAAGTATCACAGGACAGAACCGCTTGTGAAGCTGTAGTCCACAGCCTGGGACGGGCTAAGTACTCCATTTAGCTAACAAGTCCATCATTACTATTACTTTACAAAATGCTTCCCCTGACACCCCTTGGAAGTCGTCCAGGGGGGAGGGGATTCATAGTATGCACTCCTAATTTTAGGGACCCAGAGGAGAGCCAGCTACATTAGCAAACACGGGGGTGGGGGGGATGGTGAAACAACACGGGGAGAAGAATGGAACGAGAGGGAGACAGATGGTGCGTGTGTTGGGGGAAGGGATCAGAGATCCAGGAAAACTTATGTTCCCTGAATCGCAAGAATGTTTCCATTTAACCACTTATTGCCTGACTCGTGATTCTACATAAAAGAGAAGTGGGGAGTTGTAAGATTTGGGGCCACCTGTACTTAGACGCGAGGTGCAGAGCCAGGAGCGTTGGGAAGCAGGGGCGTAGCGGCTCGTGCTCCAGTCACCTGGAGATCCAGTCCGCGTCCGGGATCCAGGTAAGTGGTGGTCTCCCTTTCCCCTGGCAGGGGCGGCCTAGGGGCGGCCGGCGGTTCGGACTGTCCCACGAGGGGGCGCGTCTTGGGTCCTAGGACCCGCCCTCGCAGCGCCGGGCGCGGGGAGGGGACCCGGGAACCCAGGCGCCCAGCGCTCCGCCTCCCGTTTCCGGGGCAGCGCGGTTACCTGCACCGCGCGAGCCGCACCTGGCGGAGGCAGAAGTCGCAAAGCGAGAGAACGCAGAACGCCGCAGCGGAGAGTGGCGACGGCGCCGGGCCAAGGGGGAGGAAGAGGAGGAGGCGGTGGTTGCAGGCGGCGGCGTGGAGGGCGCAGCGCGGCGGAGGAGGGCAGGCGGCAGCTGCGCTCGGCTCGCTCTGTCCCGCCGGCCGGGCGCGTCCCCGGGCCCGCACCGCGCCGCTGCGGGCGCACATGGCAGCGTGAGAGGCCGGCAGCGGACAGCGCCGGGTCGGAGCCTCAGGGCCGCATGGACCGCGGCGCCACCGCGGCCGGCCCCCACTAGGGCCCCCAGTCCGCGGGCGCCACCCCACCCCCATCATGGTGCCTCGGCGGCCGCCCGGGCTGAGTACGGCCGGCCGGAGCCGCTGAGCCGGGGGCCCCCGCGGCGGCCGGGAGCTGCATGGGGGAGCGCGGGCCGCGCTCGGGAAGATGCCCCGGCCGGAGCTGCCCCTGCCGGAGGGCTGGGAGGAGGCGCGCGACTTCGACGGCAAGGTCTACTACATAGATCACACGAGCCGCACCACCAGCTGGATCGATCCGCGGGACAGGTAGGACCCCGGGGAGCCCGTACACCTCGCGTTCCGGCCTGGGCCCCCTCCTGCCCCAGGGACCACCAGCCGGGACTGGGCCGGGGGTGCAAGGGAACTCTATGAGCCTCTTGCGCTGTCTTCAGTTTGCCGCCCCCTCCCCAACCCCCCGCCGTCTGGGGCGCTGCTCCTGCTGGGGTGGGCTGCTGGGAGGAGAGGATGGCCAGTGGGTTGGCCCACGCAGTCCCACCGCCCCCCGGATGGAGGGCTTAGGCCCCAGCCGGCACCTGCACGGAGTTTTGACCTTAAGCTCTAGCCCCGCCCCCTCCGCCCCCTTTAGGAAGAGGTCGGGCGGGGGCGGGGGGAGCAACCTAGCGGAGTGATTCTGGGGCTTCCAGGCGAGTCTTTCCCGGGCAGATGGGGGGAGATGGGGAAGCATCTGGTTTGGAGGGGGTAGTAGGGACTCAGGATCCAGGGGGAAACTGCTGGAGAAAGAAGGACACTAGGCAGAGGGGAAGGCAGCCCTGAGTGTGGTTTTTGACAGGTGCCTGGGAGGTTCTGAGAGGAGCATAGCAGCAGCCAGGGGGCCTGGAGGCCGGGAGTGGGAAGGAAAGGAAGGAGCGGGGGAGGGCTGATGGGGAAGATTGGTTCTCCAGGAATCTTACAGCAACTTGGAAGCTCTTAGGATACGGATGGAGGTGAGAGGCCTCCCGCAAAGCCCAGCCCATCACCTCGTTCTCCTCCCTTTCTTCCCCTGGGGGCCAGAGCTCCTCAGCCGTGCACCAGCGCGTCGTGACCTTGGTGGGCACCAAGCTCACTGTAGCACGGGATGTGTGTGTGTGTGTGTGTGTGTGTGTGTGTGTGTGTGTGCTGAGACAGGTGGAGTCTGAGATGAGATGACTGGTGTGGTTCTTAGCTTCCAGACTTTCTCCCGGTTTTGATTGCTTGGCATTTCTTTACACACACCATCCCCATGTATATCCTGGTGCCCCCTGGGGGTAGGGGTGGAGAGGACCACCCTCTGAGATTGCCTTGTCCTTATTGTCTTGGTCTGTGGTCCTACTGTTTTAGGAATGTGGAATTTTCACCTCGTCAGTGCGACCTTGGGTATCATATGCCTGTAGAGCAATAGAGGTGAATTTTTTGGACCCTTCATCTGGCGGGGTTGGGATTGAGGTCCCAGAAGTCCAAGATGGGGTGTGTAGCAAGGTGAGGCTTTAAAAAAAGAGGCAGAAAGAAAATTTGAGTTGAGATTCCAATTAGTTTCTGTGAGCACTTTAAGTTCATTCATTTAACATTTACTGGGTGCGTGCTTTATTCTCAGTACCATACGGGATGTCTCATTAATGTAACCTGGAAGAGAAATAAAAAAAAGAAAGCTCTCTGCCCAGTGTGGGCCTTGAACTCGCTAGCCCAAGATTGGGATTTGTGGGCTCTACCAACTGAGCCAGCCAGGTGGCCTTGGAAGAGAAATGTTTTATGCTAAAGGAAGCATCCCATGAGCAAGCTGCTTTAACCTCTGAGCCCCAGGTTCCCTGTTTGTCATATTAATTGTTTGCTTGGAACGGAAGGACTAATAGAAGAATTCTGAAAGTTGGAAGGGACATAGATAATCAGCGCCCAGTTCTTATTTTCAAACCTAAGAAAAAATTTGAGGCCCTGAGGTGTGATTTGCTTGAAAATCTTGATCTTTCCGTCACTCCCCGTATGCCAGATTCTTTACCAGCTCTGATGTTCTGACCTCCAAATTTGTCCTGACTCACTTTCCTTCCCTGCCCCACTCAGGGTCATCTGTCCCAGGGATGCTGTTGCCCTGTTGGGTGAACGGGGCAGCCCCTTGTTCCTTATAGAACAGACATGAGTTCAGTCTTCTATTTCCTGCCTGGTTTTGGTCCCAGCAGCTTACTGAGGCTGGTGTGCTGTCAGCGGCTGGACGTTGGAGGACTGGGACAGCCCCACATCGAGCGCTGCTAACTTACCCTAAGTCACGAATCTAGGGACTTCTCTGGGGCCTCTGGGAGGATAATACAGCTATAGAAAGCTTCTCAAACAACAGTAATTTTTCATCCCTGGACAAGGGCGAATGGAAAACTGACTTGGCTAGAGCATTATTTTTTAAATTTTAGTATCATGTGAACCACCACCATGATTTTGTGCTAAATGAACTTGCACTATTGCTTATTTAGACTTTAAGTCAACTCGATTTGAAAATTTTTTTTTTTTTAAAGATTTTATTTATTTGACAGAGAGAGAGATCACAAGTAGGCAGAGAGGCAGGCAGAGAAAGAGAGGGGAGGAAGCGGGCTCCCTGCGGAGCAGAGAGCCCGATGCGGGGCTCGATCCCAGGACTCTGGGATCATGACCTGAGCCGAAGGCAGAGGCTTTAACCCACTGAGCCACCCAGGCGCCCCTCGATTTGAAAATTTTTTAACCACGTTTACAAATGGGAAACTAGTAATATCTGTTGTCATAAATAGAAAGGATCCTGAAAGAAATAGTAGAGGAGGAGTAAAATAACAACCCAGCGCCATTATATGTTAGCTCTATACTGTAGCTTGCCCATATCCCAGCAATAGGTATGCCCAACCTTTGTGGGGTTTTTTTGTTTTGGTTTGGCTTTTTATATAAGATTTTATTTATTTGAGAGAGACAGAGGTGGTGAGAGCGAGTACAAGCAGGGAGGAGAAGCAGGAACTGGCTTCCCACCGGGCAGGGAGCCCACATGGGACTTGATCCCAGGACCCCGAGATCATGACCTGAGCTGAAGGCAGATGCTTAATCGACTGAACCACTCAGGTACCCCATGCCCAGCCTTTGTTTTTAGACAGACTGGCAAGCATTGGAGAGGAATTAAAAACATAGTAGCATTTAACTGAGCCACTCACTTTCACCTTGCAAGTCATTGGTTTTAATGCATCTTTGTACTTCCTGGTCATCCTACCCATACTATGTTAGTTGGGGGGTACAGAAGTTTGGGGTGCTGAGGTGCTCCTAGTACAATCCTGGGGTCACTGTTAAGGTGGGCTAACTGAAAATTTGGGGAAAAGGCTAAGCGGAGGGCATCCACTTATGGCTCTCTGGGATTTCTCTCCTGCACACCCCATTTGGGATTTCTGTCTTACAGTCTTACCTGTGTGGCCTCCGGTAAATCACTTGACCTCTCTGAGGTACAAGTACGTGCTCCATTGGTGAGAGAAGATAGTTGATGAGAGGTGTTCACAGGACCCTGCCAGGTCTCAGATGTGATTTCAGACTCCTCGGCCTCACCTTACCCCTCCCGACCCCATGGCAGAAGGAGAGGGGGAATTGTAACAAGGAAGAGGAAAAAAAGTGACAAAGTCTAAAAGAGCCAGACACCTTGGGGTGGTGGGGTAGGGGAGATAAAAATCTACCAAGGTATTTACATCTCTGCATCTAATTAATGGTCTTAGACAAATGATCACATAAAAAATAAAGTTCTACTCCTGAAGCTTATGTACGTGTGTGTGTGTGTGTGTGTGTGTGTTGGCATTTGTCTTGGCTTTTTCCTTACCTGAATCAAGGAGATGCCCACCCATTCCCTTGAATTTAAAAGAAGTAAGTCAAACAGTCCTTCAGTCAGAAAAGTGATTTCTTAGCCGTGAAGAACAAAATAGCGTCTCGGGTTACCAACCCTGAAGAATGTCTTGGCACATTCCTCCCTCTGGGGCTGAGCTGTTTTGTGTGCTGTCCGCCATGGAGGCTGCTGGGGGTAGAGAATCCAGTTTTCCGCTTCCCCTTTCACCAGCGGGTTGGAAGAGCAGCCAGGCAGCCAGCCTTGCCAGCTCTCTTCCCTTCTCACCCAGGGCAAGACTGGGAGGCCGAAATTCCTGAGGACGGTTGTCCCAACAACCGGAGAGGGTCCAGGGGGCAGCTTGGGCCCTGCCTACTGGGCCAAAGGCTCCCACAGCACCACAGGCTCCTCCTGAGGCAAGGCTGGCCTGGAGAATCAGGTGCTCTGGCCTCCACAGCCCCTTGGAGCAGTGTTCCTTCAGCGGAGTAACTCTGGGTGCTTCTGGGAGCTCCCAACAAAGGGCCAGCGTTCCTTGTGTATTTAACTTAGTGGTATGCAAAAACAAATATGCTGATTGTTCTCTGAGGAAGAATGGATTGTTTGAACTGGCCCTGCCAGAGAAGGTTCCTGAAGCCTGATTCCTGCTCATTTGGTGGTGTATGTTCAGACCCTTCTTCTAGGAACCACCCAGGAGCTCTGTGGGCACAGTTTCCGGGGCTATGGGATTAGTCCTGGAGGCCCACATGGCTAAGAGGCCAAGTTGAGAGGACTCTGCAACTTCTCTCATGATTTGGGGAACATGTGCTAATCCTGTTCTTTCAGAAATAACTTCTACTATAGGAAATTGGGCTACCGTCCAAAGAGCTTAACCTCCTTCTGGCCACAGATCCTTATGAGAATCTGATAAAGATTAAAGATGCTTCCAGAAGGAAAGTGCAAATACAGTTTTGGAACATAATTTCAGGAGGTTCTTGGACCCTAGGTTCATACTCCTGCCATAGATTAATCTAGAAATTGCTCACCACTGCCTATATGCTCTCCTGTTCAGTGAGGTAGGAAATGACGACTGAGCATTTACTGTATTCAGGCAGTCTGCTGAGAGCTTTATATGGGTGATTTCCTTTACTCCCTCTGACAAGCCTGGGAATAGGTACTATGATCTCTGAGGTACCTGAGGCTCAGGGGGGCTGAGTTTGGTGAAAGCCAGCTTTTGTGGAGGCGAGATGTGATTGCTGAGTGCACTGATGCCAGAACCCACACATCTGGCCGCTGCCCTGCCCTGCTCCACCGCCTGGGCTCCATTGCCTCAAGAATTTGGCCTTGGGGAATGGAGTGGGGACAGGCCTGACTTCACTTACCTGTAACCATTCTGATGTGGCCCGGCCACAGTTAACCAGAGAGCAAGTGTGGACAGTGGAAAGAGGGTGAGCTTTTGAATTGTGGCATCTTGGATGTCCTACTTGCTACTCAAGTGACCTTGGCAAGTTGC